ATTTGTGAATGCTGTGTAGAATTTATAGGCAGTTGTGGTTGAGAATGGATTGGTTGAAATGTGTCTCTCTCTCTCTCTCTCTCCTGCCTGTCCATATGTGTTTTTCAATGCCTGTTAAAAACGCCTTTGCATGTTATACACACTTTACCTGTCAATTGGACAATTTGAAACACCCATCCATATAACATTATCATACACCTTTGTGATTAAGTTGAAATTATCATTTAAGGAATATCTGTCCATGATTCAGGTTGTCTGTTGCATGATGGAGTCATTTATTATTACCTGTTTTATAAGACAGGATCAAATAGCTGTGCATATTGGGTTCTAGGTAAGAGGTGAGGGAGATTTGGAGCTTGCGTCCATGACACGAGTTAGGAGCATAGATCTGCAGTTTACTTGCAGTGCGTGATATGGTGTTAACTTAAGTCATGCTGGTCTTTTTTTCTTGATAAATTTGATGCCCTCTCTTAGTGATGAAAATGTCACTAGTAATAAAGTTTCCATTTTCTCAACCCTGCCATTTCTTGTCGCTAAAGTGCAACCATTTTGCATTTATGCAACAAAATTTTACAAATATAGTTGAAAAAAGCTTATGAATATTTTCTGAGCTGAACAATATGTGGTTTAATGTGAAAGTTTCCCAATTATAGTTCTTCTAGCTGATAATTTACCGTTGTGTGATGTGCTAGTAAAGTTAGATGGTAGTTAACTGAATGTAGTGATCGCGTGGTCCTTTGAGAATGGCACTCGTAAGCCATTTGTATGTTGTTCTAAATGTCGACATCCCCAGCAGAACTAGCAACTTCCTGATCTAGATACGGCGAGGTAGGAAGGCTGATGGGTAAGCAAGCATATAAGATTGATCACGGTGAAGGCTCAATGGCGTCAGGTGAGCATTACGTTGCAGATGTGACAAGTCATTTGGGGACATTCCGCGCCAACAGGGGACGTGTCAGTGTTTCATGGCTTGGTGAACGGAAGATTATGAAGTCCCCGTGGATTGGCTAAGCATATGTTATATGTATTTGTAACTATGATGTGGACAAATTCGGACTGTTTAATCGTATTTCCTTGTCCAGGGCTATTGGCCAAGTCTTTTTGAAAATGAGATACAAAAGGGGTAAGCCCCAGTTAATTTGTTGATTAATTTTTGATATTTTTTTAATGCATTTTTTCAATTAATGTTTTTAAAATATCTTGAAAGTGCTTATCTATTGGTGTCAGACCCTCTTTCTGCTTCCCCCCCCCTCTTTTATGGCCTTCTTGCCACCATTTAAGTACATACTTAACTTTAACAGTTAAGGGTAAATGACTATAAAATTTGGCTCCTCATACTTTGGGGAAAACATTTTGTTAATGTGCCTGAAGAGGAGGGAAGAGAGAAAGGTCTTTCATTACACTTCACACTGAAACACGCAAAGTAGCCATTTCCCAAAGAAATTGTATAATTTTCTTTTGAAGGACTTGTAGTCAGTTGCGTCATTTTGTAATGGCCATTTTGTCTTCATCTCAAGGCATGCGTTTTGACTGTATTGCCTTTGTCTATATGGGACTGAATAGTTAATGCTGAAATGCATTTTCTAGTGAGAATGCATTTGTGAGGATTCTGATATTATTGGATGAGTGACTAAATTCATATTGATAAGGACATTAAGAAGAACATCAATTTTAAGATAAGCACTTGAGGGATTTCTCCGTGTTATCTCCTAATATTACAAAACACAAGTACACCTTTTTTTTTACTTTAAGATCAGAAATAGAATTCTCAATTTTAAAGCAACTTATTTGTCTGGGAGCAGCTATTTCGTCACTGAAGTTCAGGGACCCACTTGCTGCATAACACGATGTTTTGCCACTGTTTCAATGTGTGTCACATCTCAGATAAAGTTAATGCAAATGATTACTCCTTTTAATGCTTTTGTACAAGAACATAATATTCATATTTTATCTCCTTAGTTCCAAGGTACTAATTAGGCAGGACTTGAAGACAATTCAGGTCGTTAGTGGACTATAAGGCACTGTCGATACAATCACCCCATCATCAGTATGTACAGTGACAACTTACAATGTAAAGACCTCAGGACCCTATTTCACTAGAGCTTAGATGGAATGGTGCTATCCATTTTTCAGATAAAGAAACTCCTGTTGAAAATGCTAACAATTGCCTGGGTAATATGATAAATTCCACATAAATGGTCTGGATGTAATCTATTAAAATTAAATATAAGATATTCCAGCAACTTTTCTATCACTTGTCAAAATATTTCATTTCTCACTCCAAACCACCCACCCCCACCCCAAGCAATGCACCCTGAGACCCATAACTAAAACCCTGCTATCACACCCCTCGTGAACATCCACATCAACATGGCTTTGCACACTAAGGTCCTCAAAATGGACCCCACAAGTCATCATGCCTTATATTTAATTAATACCTTACTAAGCCCGCTAATTAATCATTTCTATGTGAGAAATTTATATTGAGAAAGTGATACCTGTGTTCTGGTGTACCCCTCGGGTAACAAGTAGGGGGGGGGGGGCATTTGGTATCTGATAAGAGTGAAGTTTCATCTTCATTATACATGAGTACAGAGATTAGGATCTTGTTAGTTACTCATTATGAAGCATACAGGTGTTTGAGATTTATGACAAAGCTGACAGTAATGTGGGAAGTTCATATGCCCCTTCTATCCACCCAGAGGTACACCTAGCACCCTTCAAATAAGGTGGTATGTGATCTTCTTGTCTTGGAATACATGTAATTGGCTGGATGTTTTTGGAGAAGATCAGCAAAATTCTGAACAGGTACATTGTTGACTTTTAATTCATGATAGCTGTTTCTGAACATTTCAGAGTTTAAGGTCCCTTCTTGCCATGCCTTACAAATGGTAAAAATAGCTTTTTTGAATGTTGTCTCTCATATGTATGAACTGTTTAGCTGCAAAATTGTGACTTTTTTCTGGCAGAATATTTTTGGGGAGAGTCATATTTTCAAAGGTACACTGGTGTACAAACTTATTTAACTCCGAACGACCGTGGGAAGAACTAGGATAATTATCCTATTGTAAGCGAATCTTCATTTGAGATGGGTAGCACCTAATCGGTTGACCTAACCAGCAAGTAACTTGACTGTACATGAATGAAGCGAACATGACATAACTTCAACCTCACCATTAAAATGAATGTCAGACCAAACGAAGTCATTTCTTGCAAGAAGAAAGGTCACTGTAGCAGAAATAATCGCATCCTGCGGAACAGAAAGCATTCAGAGACCCAAGAACGTTCAAGGGCATGTTATTTAGCCACTCCAAGCATATTTATGCTTCCTTACTGCCAGTGTGTCTGCGTTATTGCAAATCTAAAATGATATCTCTTCTTTTTGTAAACACATTTTCAAGGTACAATTGTCCTCCGTTTTGTCCACAAAGTATGATCAGAGATAAGTGTCAAACATGTTAACTGTTGAATTTACATCTGTGAAACAAGAGTAATTGATGTACAGTTGGTGTGCAACAAAACCTTAAGGTACGGCGGTATCGGCAAAATCGTGTGTAGCAATGTGCACATGAATGATGTGTATTATTACAAGCTTGCAGCACTTAATGGTGCCGTATTGTTCTATAGTCATTCTGCGGGTCCCTGGTGGCAAAAGATGGCTTTTAGATTCACAAAGAGGATAAATCTCTCTTTGCAATGGCAGGAGAGAATGGCGGATTGGACTGACTGCAGATACGTACATAAGTGTGTGTTTGGGTATTGGTTTTTTTTTTAGACACATCAAGTTCAGTGAAATGTGGGTGATTTTTATGATGGCATCTTGCTATGTTTTATGGGTCTTCTCAGTAGCTACACATTCATAATGCAAGTAGTGGAGAACAATTAATTACCTGGGAAAGGTGAAACTAATGTACTCGTTTCAATTAGCGTGTAGAACACTTAATGATTTTTCTAAGAAAACAGACAGGGGAGGTTGATGACACATTCCAGTTATTTTTGTAAATTGAATATCTTTTTGGGGTATGTAGTGCTAAAATGTAAAAGATCTGACACCAAGTAAGTAAGCTTTAAACTGAGGATTTGATAAGCATCTCCAGGCCAGCCAAATAATGCATGAAGAAAGAAAAAAGGCAATATATTATTGCCAGCACTATCCAGGTACACATATCTCATTCTAGTTCAGCTTCTGAGAAATGGTGAGCTTTGTTAATACTTGTTATTTTAGAAGGAAGATCTATAACTTCTGATCGAATACTGTGGGTGGTTTTAAGAGTGTGGCATGTTTTGATATGGTATTATTCTGAAATACAACTTTTTAGAAGCTGATCAATAGCTGGAATGGGCTGTATTTGGGGAAAGCTGAACTAATTGCAGCTATTGGAGATAGTTTCAGAAGGAGAGAAAGGGGGACAAACAAGTTAGGGAAAAGAAATGTGCAGCTTCACCATAGACTCAGAATAAATGCCTGGCATGAAAACAAAAGTTATTACCAGTACTTAAGATCATAGGTTTATCAAGAAAACAGAAAGGAGTACAGAGGGGGCCTGCCTTAATTGTCATTACAAAGAGAGGAAAAGAGTATTAATGAATTCTGATTTTATTCTGCAGCAGCTTTGGAGTCCGTTTTTTCCAGTCGACTTCTTAATTAATTTCTTTGAAGTTCCTTTTGATGGTGGGCTATTCATTATGTCTGTGTCTGGGTGCTCAGGGCTCCCAGAGCAAGAAGACTGTATTTGAAGCTTTGATTCAGATTTTATTATTGATTCCCCCTTCTGCTCTGGGCATAATTAATTATCAAATTAATTAATCCGTTTGTTCTGGGAGAATATATAGAAAAAGGCCTCTTGAGATGTGCACAAGGTTAAGGGATGCATTCTGAAAATATGAACCATTGTCTGGAATTTGCTTTGAACTATGAAAAAAATGTGCATCTTAATGAGATCTGAGGTGGATTACAATTCGCTCTTTGGTTAATTTTTCTTTTTTTCTTCCCTTTGCAGGTCAAAGAATGAAAAACAATGAAGGAACTTAACATTCCAAGGAGCGTCAGGATGGAGGCCATTTTACCTTATTTTGCCACCATTTTTATTCTATGCAACTTCGTATTTGTTGCCAAAGCCACTTATGTGACCAATACTTACAGTGACTCCTCAAACAATGGGAATTTTTACAAACTGGAGTTGGATCGGGACACTGGTAGTGTTTATTTAGCTGGGAAAAATAAACTTTATAAACTATCGTCAACATTGGCGCTAGAACAGAGCGTGGTGCTTGGACCCAAAGAGGATAGCCCAGATTGTCCTTTGCCACCTTCGCTACAATGTGATTTTACTAAAACGATGACAGATTTCGTTCCAAAGGCCATGGTTGTGTATTATGACCAACGCCGGTTGATTTTGTGTACAAATCTGTACCAGGGTCTGTGTGAGAAAAGGAGCCTAGATGATATTACGGAATTAGACACGAACATTTACACGCCCATGGTACCCCATGACAGTACATCGTCCACGGTGATTTTCATAGCGCCATCACCTGATGATAGCTCAAAAAAGGTCCTCTTCATTGGTGCCACTCGCACAACCTACGGAACTGTGGATGCCTATAAGAAACTTATACCCGCAATAAGCAGTCGTAACATTGAGACCTACGACTTGACTTTTACCGATGTTCTCCGAGGGAAATCCGAAATGCGAATAGATGAACTTCACACCACTTCATTCTTCATCAAATATATCCATGGCTTCAGCACAGGTGGCTTTGCCTATTTCATCACCGTCCAGCGAGAAGCAACAGGATCTCGGAAGTTTGTCACTAAACTGGCCAGAATTTGTGAAAAGGATGTGCATTTCTTTTCCTACGCTGAAGTGCCTCTGGTTTGTAACAAATCGGGTACGGACTACAACATCGCCCAGGCAGCGTATCTGGCCAAGTCGGGTCCTGATTTGGCGGAGAGCCTCTCTATCCCACCAACGGAAGATGTGCTGTACGTTACTTTCGCTGTAGGGAAACAGAATTCCAATGAGACACTGGCCAACTCTGCTGTGTGTGTCTACCCTATGAGGGAAGTCGTCCGAATTGTAACACAGAATATACAGGAGTGTTTCAGGGGTTTGGGGAATATCGGACCAGATCATTTTGCCAGCAGGCAGGGGTGCACAGAGGCTGTGAGTATAGGATGTAATGGTATCGTTAGGTGTACCTTTCGAAACATGGCATGCTTGCACACACATGCACATGTACTTGCAGTTACAAACCAAACTTATGTGAACTTGGTGTGTACAGATCTGTTAATTTATCTTTAAGTCTTGATCAACTTCCACATCACCTGCACACACTGATTAAAGGGGCATTTGTAAACAGAAGTTTTGTGGCTTTGCGAAAGCGCTAGGACCTGTTTGTGGCAGACTCCTTTAAAAATGTCAGTGGTTTAAAACTAGATCATATATGAATATGTTTCATTAATTTCTATTATATTTTTCCCAGCAGACACTGCCAATAGGAGATGACTATTGTGGAACCCATGACTTTAACTACCCGATAGGAGGGAATATTCCTCTGCAGTCCACTGCGGTGATAACTCTACCGTCAACTGCAGTCACAGCTGTCGCGGTGTCCATTACATATAACTACACTGTGGCCTTCCTGGGCACAAGTACTGGTCATCTGCTCAAGGTAGGGTTCGATTCTTTTCCCCCTTAGCTCCCAAAAGAAAAAGGAGGGGGTGTTTGTTCAGTTGAATAAGAAAAAATATTAATTAAGTCAGTTGCGGTGATTTAATGCAAGTTAGATGAATCTTGGTTTTTGTAAAGCCTGTATTTTGTGCTGTTGATATCCCACAGTGCACTTCTTACTTCCTGTGTCTCTCTGCTGATTGTCACATTTGAAATTTTTTCATGAGCAAAACATAATTAAAGAAAAAAAGATTAAATTAATTTAGATCAGTTGATCTGTCTCTTTCAATTTAAAATTAGCAATCTTGGGGATAATCAAAGTCACGGGAAACCAAGTTATGAAGGAAATAATCTCAATTGCACAGCTGAGCTTGTAACATTTTTAACTTTAGAAAGATCCCACCAGCAGTAATTTACATGCAATTTCAGTCCATTAAGTTAGTATGGAAAAAGGATGAAGAAATTCAGCTTAAGTTTTGCCTGATTAATTCAATCCAGTCAATTGAGCCTGTCTAAGATTGCTTTCTTCTAATTTCCTGTGTGTAAGAAGCCGTTCTCTTGTGCACTCTTGATGAAGTTGGGGATGGGTGAAAGCGGGACATAGTAAAAAAACTCCTGTAACATTTATGTGATTTCCCAGTGGATACCCTCAGCGTCCTATTACTGTTGCAAACTTTGTTAAACTTTTCTCCATCCTTCCTCTTGGGCATGGAGTAAATATGGCAGCTCTAGAAAATCTACTTTGCTAAATTCTGTTAGTAATTGCCCTGGCGCTAGTGGTGCCAGCAGCCACAGAACCCTGACTCCAGGAATCTCGTGTAATTACCAGATGAAATCTAGTTCAACCTGCACTGATGGCCGCAATCAAGCACCTGAGGTGCATCATGGGATTGCACGGGACAATTTCCATGGGATTTTTTTTGTAGATCCTAGTGTTTCAAACTAAGGATATCTGTGTCCTGGTGGAATGATTCTATGTTTTCCAAATCTGTCAATAGATAAAGAGTGAAAGGCGTACTATGAAGAAAGGGAATAAGACAAATCTCCCCAAACACACAAATTACTGAACTGCTTCCTTGCTTTTATTTGCTTTCAAATGTTATCATTCCTACCTAGCAGCATTGCTCTTAGCATTACCAATATACAGGGGCTTAAACCTTCCCTGAACTAGTATGCTTGATGTCATCTGATCAGTGGGTCTCCAACTGGGCTGTGAACTGTGTTCTGTTACAAAGAGGGATCACAAAGAATAGAGGTAAAAATGATTGGAGCTGACACCCCACCCCATTCTCCCCATACTGTTAATAACTAGTAACATAAAAGTGATGGGTCAAAATATCCAACATCCAGTGGTGCTTTGCTAAACACAAGGGCCCAGTTTTATAAAGGACGTTTAGCACTAACCACTGGATAAGCCTAACCAGTGGATAAATTCTCCTAAACTTAACTAAAAGATGGTTAAATTGTGTTTCATATACAGTCTTCTGACGAAAAACAACCAATTAGTTAACTGGCCAGTGTTTAACTGGATTAAATAATTATTTAAAGGTCAGTTAACTAGACTGTTAAGGTCTGGTTAGAGTTAAACACTGGTTAGTGCTAAACGTCCTTTATAAAACTGGGCCAAGCATGTTTTGTTTGGAGTTTTGTTTTTCTATGACACAAATAAGTCATAACGAAGGTAACTTTTAAAATATAACAAAAAATTGAAAACGTTTTGTTCTTTTTTCATTTTCTAAGGTGAATAGCCTTTACTGATAAGGTTACATTGGGTAATAATATGATACATTAGCCTGGGTAAAGAGCAGGTGTATGTTAGCTCATTCTGAATGGGATGTTCAATTTTAATAGTGATCAGCCAACCAGGAGAGAGGAAATTGATCTGTCATTTCCCAGCAGAGTGTTGGCTACTGTGTTATGTACTTAGCGTGATATGAAAGATGACACTTTATATGTTTGTAATCTGCTCTATTGTATCTTTAACTGGAAAAGTTGGTAGAACTGTTTTCAAAATCTAAGAAAGCGTGAAATTTATTTTCAGTGGGCTAAATCGAGGTTTTCAAAGTGAAACTAAGATCTGTTTTGAAGTATGAGTGTTTTATGATTGAACTTGTTTAGGTGTTTGTTGGTTTTCACATATTTTATATTATTCTCTCAAAATATATTTTGGTGCTTGGATAAATTTTAATACCAATTTTATCTTTATTATTATTTTTTGTTTTTTATCACTGCATTATTTTTTGTCTTTATTCCTATGTTAAAATACTACTCATTTATATTAAAAGATGATATGTTTTGTGAGGCTTCAATAATTCAAAACTCAGACACTGGAAATATTCTACAGTACCATTATGTTCTGGAAAAGAGTGGAGAGAAATTATCCCACTTAAAAAAAAGGCGTAGTTGTAACTGTGGTTATAGACTTCATTTAATGTGTTAGCTCAATAATGAAAGCCAATGTATCTTTTTTTCTTGTCTGGGAAGTTAAATTGGCAGGTGAATAATGGAACTTTTCTCAAAATAGAAAAGTGATTGTCTGCTTGCAATTCATTTCATCATATCAAATATATCTTAATAATTACAGTATTGTAGCTTTTATAACTGAGAATTCCCAGTTGGATTTAAAATTTGATTAATTTCACAGTTTTATTTTGTGATAATGATGAATTTTTAGTAATAGTTGGGAGGATAATTATAATGGTGTAAATGCATCATAGAATGTTTTAAGAAATATATGAAATATAAATGTTAGATTCAGTCATGAAAATATCTGCGATAAAAAAATCAAAACCTGGTTTCATTTGCTGGATTTGTACAAGATAGAAATCTTTATACAAATACAGAAGCATTGGGACTTCCATCTTCCAATATATCTCATTCCTGGGATTTCATTCTCTGGAGTATTCCATTACCGGAGCCAAAAAGCCAGCAGGATGAATATTCTAGTGTTGAAGATAATCCAATAATCACACCTACATTGTAACAGAAGAGAAGAAAAAAATGAAAGCGAAACAACTATCTCCAACAGCCATCGCGCTGGCCCTGTTCACATTGATTTCTCGTTCTGCATTTTGTTCTGAAACCAGTTTTGATCTTGCTCATGTTTCTGCCATTATCATTATGGAAGGTACCCTGTTAATCCAAGTGTAGGGCAAGGTTGTGAGATTTTCTGTAATTCATCAGAAGTTGTTCTCTTGTCCACATGCCTTGTCCCTGTGTGGATTTACAGAGCCTTGTATTACCTCTGGTATAACAAATCATTTTTGTTATGTTAGAGATTGCTTTCAATAAAAGATTGGCCAGTAGTAATGAAGTCATGGTAATCGAAGCAGATTTCTGCATGGGATAATGCAACACCATCAGGACAGAGCTTTGAACTTTGTATATTGTAATGAAACCAATATGACTTTCATCATCCCTACACCATGAAAACAATGGGACAGACCGAAGTAGGGGAAAACTGTGTGAATTGGTCCGACTTTGATTCCTAGTCCCTTTGCAGATGTCACAAATATTATGGATGTAAATTACAACACTGCTGTCAATTAAAGTGGGTTATCATGGCGAGGCAGAGGAAACACATTAGGGAGTGAAAGAGTCTGGAGAATTTTTTATTTTCATTGGGAAATGCCAACTGTTGAGGGTAATGGTAATTGCAGTAGCACTGGCAGAGTTGGAATTATTTCATCGGTAGTCGTATTTGAACAGGTTTACAATCAGACATCGTCAGTCTGGCAGATTTAGAATTATTTCATCCTTAGTCAGATTTAAATTGGGGTATTTGTAATCTGACGTCGTAGACTATTTGGTCATGCCAAAGTTTGTCCTTTCAACGCAGGATAATGATTGTTTGTATGTTGTTGTTGTCTTTTATCTCAAGTTTGTCAGGTTGGTGGTTGAACAATGTAAAACTTGGGTATTTGTCTTCAGGTGATTAATGTCCTGGTGCACACCATGTGAGTGACCACAACGTGGACAATCGGCCAATCACTGGAGTTGTGCTGTGGGAAACGTCAAGCTTGAAAGTAACAATAAACTCAAGCAGTTTTGAATTGTGACTGCCAATATTTGTTTCCTGATTCTCTCTTTCACTATTTTATTGAAAATATTTGGTGTCAACTTTTAAAATGCTCTTTTTGACTTGAATTGCTGCATCAATTAATATTGATTTATTCGGTGGATCAATTTTCAAAGGTGCTCAGCTGCTCACTGTAACGAGCAATAACTTGGAATTGATAAAAATATGAATAAATGCAAGCAGAAATGGAAATGATATCTTTGAAGATATCACTTCCCAGTTGTTTACATGCAAGTCTGATTTCCCTGGTGCTGAGAAGTTGTATTGTCTGCTGGCAGTGGGCTCCCAATGCCTGATGGCATGAATATGGATGTGTCTGCTTCAATGTTTCAGGGAATTTCTCCTAGTGAATTCATCCATCTTGAACTGAATGGTTTTTCTTGCAGTCTGTAGATTTAAACTAATAAGTGTTGGTCTTGTTGTTGTTTTTTCTTGGGGTAATAATACACAGATGCAAGTAAAACAGAAAGGCTTATTCGTTTTGCGAATTAAAGGCTGAATGTGTGACTAATATGTGATAAATTGCCATTCCCTCCTCTACATCTTGTACCCTCCTGGAAACTGAATGCAGGTAGCCGTGCCCGTTATCTTTAACATGTGCGTGCATGCAGATTTGTTATGACCAAGCACACAAATAAGTCGAAATGTGTTTATAGTATGTAATTGATTTCTTTTTAGATGGTGTCTGTTAGAGACTTTAACTCTTACAGAAAATTGCTGCAAGCTTATCATATTGGTGACCGTGTCGACTAGCTGACCAAACTAGACGTAAATCCACCATATTTGAAAACTTGGCCAAGCTAACAGCCTTTTTTGCTCCTTTACAGGTTGTTGTTGAGTCAAAGGCCCTGGCTGACAAATACGAAAACCTGACCATAGAGGCGGGCAGCCCCATCAGTCCTGACCTCAGGTTTGACAGACAACGGAAACACCTCTATGTCATGACAGAAAGAAAGGTAGGTGGCAGTGTTTTCAAGATGAGCCATGATGCTTTGAAATTGATTTCATTACAGCCCTGAAGGTCAGCAAAAAAAGCTCATTGCTGGAGCAGAATCATAAAAAATGCTCTGCCACTATCCTATTAGGAGTGAACAGGTCTCTTAGGTTTTATATTGGATAATGCCAATAGACAGTCAGGGGCTTCTCACTGAAGTGCTCATTGGAGCCATGTGCTCTCTGGGTGTTTATTAATGGATAAACACACCATAGTCAGAACAAGCTGAGAACTTATTGGGGCACCTGGCCATTGATTGCCAATTTGTCTGGTCCTGAAATGTTTGGTAATCATCCTAATGCAATCAACACAGGTGTTATGTTTGACCTTCATGTTCAGGATTATGATGAGTAATCAAAAGATGAAAATAAGTGTGGAGAGTGAGGTATTCCATTCACAATATTGCCCTACCTATGCCCCACACCACACTTTTGCCATTAAGTTGTGACCTGGAGATGCCAGTTTGTATTCACCATGTGCAGTATTATTTGATTGCTTTGTCACATGCTGTGAACTCCCTTCAAAGTGCCTAAATGACGTCTCCTCTCAGCTGTTGTAGTGGCATCATATTCAGGGTGTTGTGTAAGGAGAGTAAAGGAAATCTATCTGTAATTAGCAAAAGTTGATTGTATCTAATCATTTGCTGAATTCTTGACAACATGGCATGAACTGAGCCATGTTGAAATTCATTCCACTATTTATAAGATATGTGAACTGAACGGATTGGGTCCATGAGAATGAGGTAATTTGTATGTACTTATTAACAAGCAATCACTGAAATCTATATAGGAAGCTCTATAGTTAGTGCAAATAAACATATCTGGAATGTTTGTACAAAATCTGCTGATTTAAGCACAGAGTATTCGCAACAGGATATGGAGCTTGTTTGCTTTAGTATCTTAGCTCCCAGTGCTTTGGTTGGAGGCGGTCAATTGAGGTTGAGTGGAAAAATGTTTCTCCAGCCATTTTTTGGTTTTTTGAAAAACTCTATGGCATAAAAAAAAAAAAGTTGCTTCTTGCACTAGATAACCTTAATGTGTTGTGGACGGAACTCAGTACTCTGAAAACGGATGTCATTCCCAGCCATAAATCTCCTTGTCTGCAGTCCAGTTCTGATGATTTTTCAACACCTTACACATCAAAATACACAATACAGATGTTATTCTCGCTATGCACATTCTTTAAAAAATATTCAGTGAAACAAGAAAAAAGTCATAGTCTACACATTGGGTGGATAAAAAAATTCGTTTTCTTAAAAATACCCATCATCAGCAGGCCCGTAGCCAGCAATTTCAAAAGGGGGGTTCATTTTCTGAAAAAGTGGACCTTTTTCCATAAAAACATCATGTACCTAAATCAAATTTTACCCAGAGTGGACCTTTTCCCAGCAAAAGGGGCGGTTCTTTCGAACCCCCCCTGGCTACGGGCCTGATCAGCATTTGATGAATAATTTCATTATCCACTACCAAAATGGCATGGTCTTGCCTCTAGCAAGTTTTAGCTTTTATAGCAGCCATTTGTATTGTGTGCAAAAATGCTAGTCAGTAAAATGCAATGTAGGAATCCACAGCGAAACTGGTTGGGCTTTTGCCGACCCATATATTTATTGTCTGTAGGGTGGTTATCTGTTAAGCTGAGTGATGACATTTAAGTTTGCTGGCACTTTTTATAACTGTAGGGTGCTTGATGACTGTCTACAAGCGAAGGTGTGAAGTATTTCTGCCTCTCAGAGTATGATTTTGTGGTTTTTGGCAGAGAAGAAAAAAAACGAGACTCTAGGTCTGGATATGCCAGTAATTTAACCTTGTCCATGAGAAACATCGTGTGTTGACAAATTTAGCATTTCCTGTGGGTTTGCTTGTAGAATTTGTATTTGTGATGGAGGGTCTGGTCTTACGGAGAGATGAAGCCTGAGAAATCACATTTGTACAGAGTTACTTGAATTGGAAGACATTTACGCATCGGCCCAGTGTTGNCCACCATATTTGAAAACTTGGCCAAGCTAACAGCCTTTTTTGCTCCTTTACAGGTTGTTGTTGAGTCAAAGGCCCTGGCTGACAAATACGAAAACCTGACCATAGAGGCGGGCAGCCCCATCAGTCCTGACCTCAGGTTTGACAGACAACGGAAACACCTCTATGTCATGACAGAAAGAAAGGTAGGTGGCAGTGTTTTCAAGATGAGCCATGATGCTTTGAAATTGATTTCATTACAGCCCTGAAGGTCAGCAAAAAAAGCTCATTGCTGGAGCAGAATCATAAAAAACTGCTCTGCCACTATCCTATTAGGAGTGAACAGGTCTCTTAGGTTTTATATTGGATAATGCCAATAGACAGTCAGGGGCTTCTCACTGAAGTGCTCATTGGAGCCATGTGCTCTCTGGGTGTTTATTAATGGATAAACACACCATAGTCAGAACAAGCTGAGAACTTATTGGGGCACCTGGCCATTGATTGCCAATTTGTCTGGTCCTGAAATGTTTGGTAATCATCCTAATGCAATCAACACAGGTGTTATGTTTGACCTTCATGTTCAGGATTATGATGAGTAATCAAAAGATGAAAATAAGTGTGGAGAGTGAGGTATTCCATTCACAATATTGCCCTACCTATGCCCCACACCACACTTTTGCCATTAAGTTGTGACCTGGAGATGCCAGTTTGTATTCACCATGTGCAGTATTATTTGATTGCTTTGTCACATGCTGTGAACTCCCTTCAAAGTGCCTAAATGACGTCTCCTCTCAGCTGTTGTAGTGGCATCATATTCAGGGTGTTGTGTAAGGAGAGTAAAGGAAATCTATCTGTAATTAGCAAAAGTTGATTGTATCTAATCATTTGCTGAATTCTTGACAACATGGCATGAACTGAGCCATGTTGAAATTCATTCCACTATTTATAAGATATGTGAACTGAACGGATTGGGTCCATGAGAATGAGGTAATTTGTATGTACTTATTAACAAGCAATCACTGAAATCTATATAGGAAGCTCTATAGTTAGTGCAAATAAACATATCTGGAATGTTTGTACAAAATCTGCTGATTTAAGCACAGAGTATTCGCAACAGGATATGGAGCTTGTTTGCTTTAGTATCTTAGCTCCCAGTGCTTTGGTTGGAGGCGGTCAATTGAGGTTGAGTGGAAAAATGTTTCTCCAGCCATTTTTTGGTTTTTTGAAAAACTCTATGGCATAAAAAAAAAAAGTTGCTTCTTGCACTAGATAACCTTAATGTGTTGTGGACGGAACTCAGTACTCTGAAAACGGATGTCATTCCCAGCCATAAATCTCCTTGTCTGCAGTCCAGTTCTGATGATTTTTCAACACCTTACACATCAAAATACACAATACAGATGTTATTCTCGCTATGCACATTCTTTAAAAAATATTCAGTGAAACAAGAAAAAAGTCATAGTCTACACATTGGGTGGATAAAAAAATTCGTTTTCTTAAAAATACCCATCATCAGCAGGCCCGTAGCCAGCAATTTCAAAAGGGGGGTTCGTTTTCTGAAAAAGTGGACCTTTTTCCATAAAAACATCATGTACCTAAATCAAATTTTACCCAGAGTGGACCTTTTCCCAGCAAAAGGGGCGGTTCTTTCGAACCCCCCCTGGCTACGGGCCTGATCAGCATTTGATGAATAATTTCATTATCCACTACCAAAATGGCATGGTCTTGCCTCTAGCAAGTTTTAGCTTTTATAGCAGCCATTTGTATTGTGTGCAAAAATGCTAGTCAGTAAAATGCAATGTAGGAATCCACAGCGAAACTGGTTGGGCTTTTGCCGACCCATATATTTATTGTCTGTAGGGTGGTTATCTGTTAAGCTGAGTGATGACATTTAAGTTTGCTGGCACTTTTTATAACTGTAGGGTGCTTGATGACTGTCTACAAGCGAAGGTGTGAAGTATTTCTGCCTCTCAGAGTATGATTTTGTGGTTTTTGGCAGAGAAGAAAAAAAACGAGACTCTAGGTCTGGATATGCCAGTAATTTAACCTTGTCCATGAGAAACATCGTGTGTTGACAAATTTAGCATTTCCTGTGGGTTTGCTTGTAGAATTTGTATTTGTGATGGAGGGTCTGGTCTTACGGAGAGATGAAGCCTGAGAAATCACATTTGTACAGAGTTACTTGAATTGGAAGGCATTTACGCATCGGCCCAGTGTTGAGGGCTGTTGCTTGAATGTGAATAGACGTGTGGATGAATTTGATATGAATTAGTTCACTTTTATATTGAAAACACTGTCAGATCTCTGATATCAATTGTGAGTGCTGCAGACACCCTTATAGTGTCTTATATTAGAAACACTGTCAGTTCTCTTATCGAAATTGTCAGCAGCTCATATATAATATACCAATATATGACCTTCAACCAAAAACACCACCAGCGTCCTAATATAAATTGTGAGCACTGCAGACTTCATTATAATGTCTTATATTAGAAATACTGTCAGTTCTGTAGTAGAAAATATGAGCAATACATATACCATCAGCATCCTGACATAAATTGTGAACACTTGCCTACTCCATTCTGTGGTCTGTGAGTGAGCTGATGTAAGTTAACCATAATAGAACTTCCATTGGGGTGCCATGCGGACCCAGATAACCTGGAGTGTCACCCCACTTTGCTACACCCCAGGTGACACGTACTCTTTGATGTTACGGTGATTAAAGAATTCTACCTCTAATGAGACACACACTCACACGTGTAGGCGCACATACATAGAGGTCATCTAGTATGTCACCCTATACTGCCTATATGAGACATATGCACTTTGGTACCATAAGTGATTACATCACTACTTACATGTGAGCGCATGCACTTCCTCTCCACACACACACACACACACACACACACACACACACACACACACACACACACACACACACACACACGTTTGCATATGCATTTACACAAAAACAAGTGTATGCTCGTGCTCATCCATACACACAGCCATACACAAACGTAGCTTCAGGGCCATACATCAAGGAAGATTCATGTTGAATGATGTATTATGAATAGAAAATGCTTGTCACCAAAGAGATAGAGCAATGCAAAAAAGGACACAGTCATGTATTTAAATTGACTGCATTATTTTGGGCAGAGGCTTCATGGACTTGTGCCATACTGGACAAATTTTGACATCTGTTCACAATGTTCACTGCCTTTGTACAAGGCTGAAACATCAGATAAATCTGAACTGAAATGGGATTTCATTATTGCTATAAACGTCCCACTCACCAGACAGGCTGTTTGGCAGCAGGTCCCAAATCCCCACATTACTTACAAAACCCTCCAATGGCAACAACCTCGAGTGAATCTGAACTGAAAGGTTATTCCTCCTCATGCCCACTTTGTAATGATGTCTGTGTAATTTGAGGCAAAATCGTTCCCTTACGCATCATTTGGAAGCGCACTCTGTTATTATGTGCTTATTATCAGATTAATTATCATTCAATTCTTACTGACTCAAATAAAATTCTATCCTTATTTGATTGTCTGTAATTCATCGCAGAATGGGAGATTAAGGGTTGTACCCTAAATTGATGGTGTGGGTATTTTGCTTTGTGCAGATGGAATTATTTTTTGATTAAAGAAAGGGAGTCTTTTTTAACCCAATGAGAGAGTTTTGTACAGTGTTACTCATTTGTTATCTTATCTTATTGGTGTAATAAATTTGCTGAATCTTTTTTTAAAATAAAATTATTGAATTATAAGACGTGACATGTATCTTGATTTGATCAGAATAATGTACTTAGGAATAATGAATATAGATGGATGTTATTTCAGTATAATGAGGGTAATAGGTAGGTTAAATTATTGGTTATATTTCATTCAGCTATAATTCTCCTTTTATTGGCATAAAAAGAAGGGATTTGGAGGGGATAAAAAGAATTAGGAAAAAAGCTTTCTAGAGTTCTTATTTCATCAGGTTCACCTGAAATTCTCAGAACTGCTATTTTTTTAAAAGCCACTGAAATAAAAAAACGCCTCTTCTTTCCTTTCAAATCTTGTTATCTGCTCCAGTCAGTATCAGCAGTATATGAATTTCTGCATGCAATGTTTTGAAAATTGCCTTTAGGTTAAACTTTTGGCCCTTTATGAAAATGGCATTTGAACACTAGGCTCTCTTACACAGAAAAATCTGTCACGTTCTGTGGTAGCATTGATTAGTTGAACAAGTATTTCGGAGCTCCACCTAGAGTAAACATTACACCTCCATTAACTGCAGTTATGAGTTTATTAACGTCCTCCCTTCCTCACTGCAGCAAAACGGAAGAGAGCACTAAATTATCATGAAATAAAACACAACTTGGATTTACATCCGATAAAGAGTTGGTATAAATCACTTGTTGCTTGACACATTAAGGCTTCGTTCACATGCAATGTCTATTTTCTAAANGACATTTACGCATCGGCCCAGTGTTTGAGGGCTGTTGCTTGAATGTGAATAGACATGTGGATGAATTTGATATGAATTAGTTCACTTTTATATTGAAAACACTGTCAGATCCCTGATATCAATTGTGAGTGCTGCAGACACCCTTATATTGTCTTATATTAGAAACACTGTCAGTTCTCTTATCGAAATTGTCAGCAGCTCATATATACCAATATATGACCTTCAACCAAAAACACCACCAGCGTCCTAATATAAATTGTGAGCACTGCAGGCTTCATTATAATGTCTTATATTAGAAATACTGTCAGTTCTGTAGTAGAAATTTTGAGCAATACGTATACCATCAGCGTCCTGACATAAATTGTGAGCACTTGCCTACTCCATTCTGTGGTCTGTGAGTGAGCTGATGTAAGTTCACCATATTGGAACTTCCATTGGGGTGCCATGGGGAGCCAGATAACCTTGAGTGTCACCCCACTTTGCTACACCCCAGGTGACGCGTACTCTTTGATGTTACGGTGATTAAAGAATTCTACCTCTTATGAGACACACACTCACATGTGTAGGCGCACATACATAGAGGTCATCTAGTATGTCACCCTATACTGCCTATATGAGACATATGCACTTTGGTACCATAAGTGATTACATCACTACTTACATGTGAGCGCATGCACTTCCTCTCCACACACACACACACACACACACACACGTTTGCATATACATTTACACACAAACAAGTGTGTGCTTG